TCGTAAGAATTCGATGTTGTTCACCTTCCTTCTCTTCATTGCAGACGTTTACGTGCTGTTATTTTTGAGTCGGCGTGATCACCTCGGCACCCAGCTTATTGTGATCTTATTTATGTCAAGATGATCATGTGGGTTTTTAAAAATACTTGCATCTGGTACTTCAACCATTTCTGCGTTCAGTTACTTCTTTAGTCGAGCATCGTCATGGACAATTTTTGCAACTTTTCGAATAAGTTCTAATGACTATTCGTACATATGAAGAAGCTGAGAATATAACTCTTAATCACCGTAACAAGTGACTTAGGGAAACTTTTCCGAATCCAGCGCCAATTACTGACTCATATATTATATATTTTATAAGTTATAGTTCAATTTGTTAAACTTTAATCCCGATATTATCGTTACAATTGACTACATATATGTATGCATCAACTATAAAGCCCTTCTGATTTGTTGGTAAAATCTAAATTATAAAATCCCTCTTTGTTTCAACCTTCTGTATTCAACTGTTATATCCAATTCGATTTGTAATGTTGATAAGAGGCGCTTGACTTTAATTAAATTGCAACAACTGATGAGAGTATTCATCAATGTCGACGTGCAGCAGCAAGCAAGCAACCAACCAACCAACCATCCAACCAACCATCCAACCAACCATCCAACCAACCAACCAACCAGCCAGCCAGTCAAACAGCCAGTCAGTCAGGCGGCTAACAAATGAACCTGCCGTTGCAAACCAGCTAAATATCCGAGTATAACAAAATGTTTTGCTCGAGCGTAAAATTTGTACATACATACACACATACATACATACACATGTACATTTGTTGATACTTGTGTATGAATACTGCAATGCATATTTTAACAAGAGTACATGAGTACTACACGTATAACATAAATGTGTAAATAAACATACATATGTATGTACATACACGTACATGCATAAATACTCTTACGACATAATAATCAATCAATAAGATTTATGCGTTCCGACTAAAGATAAAACTAATCAATCTTCCTGTGATGGCAAGGAAAACGTATAATGATGAAAATTTTCAAAATACTATTGCTAGGAGAGACAGTGAAAGCCTGTAGAATCGTATGCGATATACTATATATATGTATATTATAAATATGTAGTGTTATACATATGTACTTTTACCGCAAGCTCCTGATTTTCGAAAATTTTATTTTATTCTTTCGATCGTTGTATTTTTGCTTTTTTCGAGGTTTTACCTCGCATTAGGTAGAACAAAAAATGGCTAAGAGTGAAAATTAGAGAAATTAAAGATATATGTACATACTTCATAGTTGGTTATATAATAATTTTGGAATGACTTCAATCGATTGGAGTTTTTTTTATTTTTATTTTATTTTTATTTTTTATTTTATTTTTTTTATTTTATTTTTTATTTTTTTTTTTTATTTTTTTTTTTTTTTTTTTTTTTTTTTTTTTTTTTTTTTTTTTTTNTAATTTTTTTTTTTTTTAATTGTAAAAAGCAAATTTCCATTTAGAATTCCCTTTGTTTGTGGTCAATTTTATGCAGACTACTAACTATTCGTCTATGCAAACTTTGTTTATTTGTTTTTTTCAGACTTTTGTTGTGAATTGTGACATTCAGAGGTTAACATGAGAGTTTTGCTATACCAACAAATCAATTTAAAATTCATACTACATAAGTATTTAAATTGCAAAAGGTTTTGATTAACTTTTTGAAGCGCTGAGGAATTAAGCTTTTACGCTCTTGTAGTTTAGTTTAGCATGAAATTCTATTGAAAATGAAAAACGGAAATTGTTTTATACATAGTTACAGATTGAAGGACGTACATATGTATGTTATAGAGCTCTAGGTATAGAACATCATGGGTATACAGGGTGTGCCATCTAGATGTATCCTATTTCAACATTGAACAGCTCCGCCATTTTTCAGCCGATTTTTACAGATGAACACAATTCTGAAATGTCATTCAGTGCCATTTTAGCTATGAGTCGATACGCTCCGAAAGAACGCGGTGAAATCGCAGCACTTTACATTGAAAACGATCGTTGACCATTGACGGTGCACGCTATTGTTGGATTTCGGCGTACTTTGTCTGTCCACAAATGCAGAAAAAAGGTCTAAAAAACTTTTATTTTCAACAAGACGGGGCACCTTGCCACACCGCAGCCGTTACGATCAAGTTTTTGCAGAGCAAGTTCCCAGGACGCGTTATCTCAAAAAATGGTGATTTGGAGTGGCCTCCTCGTTCTCCGGACTCAACGTTACCAGACTTTTTTCTGTGGGGATATTTAAAAAGTAAAGTTTATGCCAGCAAGCCGAAGAATATTGACGAACTCAAAGCTAATATTATATATGAGCTGAAATAGCAATATCACCCGAAATGCTGGCCAAGGTTATGCAGAATGCCCGCAAAAGAGCTGCTTTTTGTGTATCAAATTGAGGTGGTCATCGACGTTGTATTCTAAACCTGGATTAAAATATAAATGGCATAGAATATCGTAAGAAAATCTTGTTCATTTGTGAAAATTGGCTGAAAATTGGCGGAGTTATTCAATGTTGAAATAGGATACATCCTGATGGCGCACCCTGTAGAACGACTTATTTAAGAAAATTTTCCAAATTTTACTTTTCAATGAACGCAAAAAAAAAAAATAAATTAAATAAAATAGAGTATATAAAAAGTGCGTACATAAAAGATTTAAAAATGATATTTTATGCTTTAAAATTCTTCTTCTTTACTGGCGTAAACACCGCTAACGCGATTATATCCGAGTTAATGACATCACCACGCCATGTATTCCTTCTTTCCGTTGTTTGGCGTAAATTGGAATACAGTAGAGCCTAACCCTTCCCCAACTGATCTTTCAAACGGAGTGAAGGTCTGTCTCTTACTTTGTTTCCACTAGCGGGTACAGCATCGAATGCTTTCAGAGCTTCAATGATTTCATTCATTCGAAGGACATGACTTAATCAGCTCAGCCGCTGTCGTGTCATTCGCTCAATTATGCCAATGTTGGCGTCTAGTCTACGGTATTCGCCGTTGCCTAGGAAATGGTTCGCCGAACCTTACTCTCGATTACTCCCAACCCTAACTAATAAGGTTTTGTTATCGTTTACGCTTTTTCGCCACACTCGCTTTGCCAGGATGGGAATGATGAGCGACTTGTGCAGTTTGGTCTTTGTTCGTTGAGAGCGGACTTTACTTTTCAATTGCCTACACCGTTCAAAGTAGCTACTGTTAGTAAGAGTGATTCTGCGTCGGATTTCAAGTTTGACACTATTTTTTGTACTAATACTAGTTTTACGATAGATGAAATTATATACGACTTGACACAGTGTGTGGTGTGAACTGAGTCGCGAATGGGATGGCCATTTGTTTGATCACAGGAGATATTTCGTCTTGCCCTGTTGTTGTTGTTATTGTAACCGCAAAATTATTCCCCAAAGTACGTTTTGGGGAATATTGCGGGAGTGACAGTCCTTGGCCGGATAAAAATCCGGGTCGTTCCGGTATAAAGACCCGACTGTCGCGGAAACTATTGGATTTTAGTCGCCTCTTACGACAGGCATGCCTTACCGCGGGTAAATCCTTGAGCCCCTAATCCTCGTTCACTACTGTATAAATCTGACACAGCTTTTGGTGCTGTGTTCAGTTTATACAGTTGCGGGGAAGGCTGCCTTAAAACAACGATTATATCTTGACGATATTTTGACCTTATATGCAATATTAAGGATGCTTATTCCACTGTGGATTACGCAGAGCACACTTATGTTCCAACCGTCGGACATGCTTTCATTCCAACATATTTTGCAAAGAAAATGATGAATGCACTTTGTTAGTTCTTCGTCGCCATATTTGGCCAACTTGCCCGGCAATCCATCGGCGCCGCCGCTTATTTTTCAGGCGGGGAATTGTTATTAGACCTTCTTCATGGTCGGACAATGAAACATTTGTGCCATTGCCATCAATTGGGGAATCGTGTTCGCCATCTCCTGGTGGAAGTTTTCTGTGACATAAAAATAGAAAAAGTCTTTCAAAAGAAATATCTGAATTTTGTAATTGTTCCATAAGTGAGATTCTTTCTTATCGCTATTTAGTTCAAACGAAGGGTAAACTTGTCTAAAATATCTTTTGATACCGAATGAGAGGAACTTAACGAATAGAATTCCTCAGCATCAGTCTTGCGGGTATACCAAATTTCAAATTCAATTTTATGTTCGCGGAATGAGCTGATTAAGCTAATTAGGATCGTAACGTGTTTCTAAAAACACCCAACCATCCAGATCAGACCCCGAATAATTATTACCTGTTTTGAAAATATGGAAAAAGTGCTGAGGTGTAAAAAATGTATAACCGTTGATAAGGTGAAGGAGGTTGTTTCGGCTCATTTCAAAGATAAAGAGAAAACATTTTTTATGTGGTTATAAATAAATAAATTAAAAGGTGTGTAAACTGTAAAATGCTTGCTGGTGAAAGGAAAAGTAATATGATTTTTCAATTCCACACCTTATACCCCACAGCGCGAACATAAAAACGTTCCCGCGTATATGCAATACTCATATATTTGATTTATACGAAAAGGTTTTAGGCTCACTAATAAGTTCTAAAAAATCATTTCTAATAAATTAAATTATCTTTTGTTTATTTATATATTATAAATTCTTAAATTTCTTAGACCTCGAAAGCTTATGAATAATTGTTTGTATTCCCTTGATTATTTAATTGTCCTTTCGATAAGGTAAAACAATGCATTTTGAAAAAGTCTTAAATGAACTAATTATAGAGTTTAGATATTAAAAGAAAAGAAATATGAATATATAATTTGGTAAATTTTTCTTAAATAAAATAAATATTGTAGATTTTTTTTTTTTTTTTTTGAGAGATATTTCTCTAAAAGATTTTAATTATATTTGCCTGTTTTATGCTATTTGATATGTATACGTTTACCTTTGCGTATAAAATTCTATATATGCAATTTCTGTTCTTTTACATTTCAGTCGGAGTCGTCATCGTCAGCTTCCACAAAATTCGCACTACTCAAGTGTGTATGGTGTAATCAACTACTTGGCATCAATGATCGCCCTAAACTCTTGGAATGCCTACATGTTTCCTGCTCACAATGTATCAGTACGAAATTCTCCGAAGTGGATCGTACCATGCCGCCACTTATCCATTGCCCTGTTTGCAATATGGCATCGCAGAATGAATTTATCATTGATAATCAATTTTTAATTGAACAATGTACCGCTGCTGGTGATAACAGTTTAGCTGATGGTAGTTCTGCAGATGCAACCAAAGCGACAGTTACAGCAAATATCACATGCAGTAGTTGCTCTGATAACGCTGTAGCGACGTCATGGTGTGTAGATTGTTCCGAATATATATGTGACAGTTGTGTACAGGCACATCAACGTCTCAAGATCACCAAGGATCATACAATTAAGCCAAAAGAGGAAGCCAATAATGAACAATTACCCGGTGCTGCTGGTGTGGATAAATTACATATGTGTCATCTACATCCACAAGAGAAATTGTCGCTATTCTGTGAGACATGCGACAAGTTGACCTGTCGTGATTGTCAACTTAGCGATCATCGTGATCATAAATATAAATTTGCCCATGAAATTGCTACCGAGACACGTCAAGCGTTGAAAACGCTCGTTTCGGAAATAAACTACAAGCGCTTCCTACTCTCATCTGCCACTAAAGTGATTGATGATCGACAAAAACAAATTGCCGATCGTAAGAAGGATCTAATCAAAGAAATTACCGCAATGGTGGTGAAGATCACAAATACGGTTAATATGCGTGGCAAACAATTAGCTATGCGTTTGAATGAAGTTTGCGATACTAAAATGAAGGTATTAATCGAGAAGAAGGATGCATTACAATTACTCTCCGATAACACTGATCATTGCATTGAATTTATGGAGAATGCTATGGAGAAGGGTAGTGATTATGCCATTCTATCTAGTAAAAAATCATTGGTGCGACATTTACAGAAGCTGAAATGTCAACGAGCAGATATACCAAATCCAGAGATTCCTGTGCGTATACAAGTACAGTTAAACCAAGTTTCCGAACTGCAGAAAGGTAAGTGGACAGATAATTGGTTTGAATTGAGTTAAATTAAGTTGAATTGTGTTAAATTGGTTTGGTTGAATTTTTTTTATGCTGTTCTATGGTGTTATTTAATTAAATTAAATGAGTGTTATTATATTGACTTAAAATGATTAAAAGCAATTAATTAAATTAAAGTTTATTTCACTACAAAAATAGAATGATAATTAGTTATAATTAGATATAATTAGGGCAACAAAAGTCTAGCATAAAAAAAGCAACTAAAAATATAAAAATATAATAATATAAAAGTGTCTTAAATTGATAAGAAAACGAAACTCGTAAATTATTTCGTCGTTTTTATTTCATCATATGAGTTTTTAAAGCGAAAATCAATTTTATATAAAAAATTAGAAAATAAATATAATAAATAATAAAACAAAATATGAATTTTCATATTCTTCTTTCTTTGCAGTTATTTCGCAGCTTGGCACCGTTATTGTAGATGGTAAACCTTATCCACCAACACCTTCTCCTAATGGACCACCACGTCAACAACCGAGCCCCAATATGGCGCCACCCTTACGGCCTGGTCTGCCTCCCGGCTTACCTGCTGGTATGTCTCCTACGGGTCCACCCGGCGGTTATGGACCCCAAAATGGTCCACCAATATACAATAATAGTACTCAGGCACAACAACAATTCAACAATATGCAGATGAATCGCAACTTTGCCGCCGAGGGCGCAGGTAAGGGTACGCCAGCATGTCGTTCACAATTTTTTTACCACATTCATTACATTTATAGTATATTAATGCTAATATATATATGCTACATTCAATTAACTGGGGATTTAATGTATATTTTTTGTTTTTTCATTATAGTACGTTTCGGCGCTATGCCACCAGTTGGGATGCAGCGTCAAGGCCAGCCACATGTTAGTTCCTCAACACATCCACAAAATATGGGTAAGCGAAAAATAGGATAAAAAGCCTACTTCACTTCCTCACATTGCTTTAATTACTTTTGTTATACTGATTGTGTGATTTTTCAGACATGAGTTTGCGTGGTCTATTAAATAATCAGGCAGCTCAGAGTCCTAACCAGGCGCATATATCGTTTAACGGGCCACCCACCTATCCAGGTGGGCCACAAGGCGCAGCTTCACCACACCAGCAAATGAACACTCAAATGAGGCCGCATTTTATGGGCGGTCCTCCAGGCCAACAACATCAGAATTACCCGCAGAATACGCCTGGTGGACCGAATAACCCGAATTACATGAACAATACTGCGCGTTTTCAGGGCTACCAACGCATGTCGAGTCACGCGCAACAACAAGCCGCGGTAGCAGCCATGTCAAGCGGGGGCGGACCTGGTGGTCCATGCGGCAGTCAAATACCGTCGCCAAACGCCATGCAGCGTCCTCAAATCATGTCCAATCCAATGCAGAATGTAAGAACAAAAATGTTGTACCATATTATTCAATAACTTTGCTAAAAATCATCATTTGATATTTTCACAGAACCTGGGGTTTCACGGGAGCCAGCCTGGCTACAGTCCCGGTCCTCCTCAGGCCTCTCCACAAATGAATAGCAGCTTGAGTAGCATGCATAGCATGGCCAAATGGCACATACCTCAATCGGCACAGCAGACAAATGGTAATTTCATTTATTGCGTTTAAATAAACATTTTCCGCACATTTTAGTCATACACGTATGGCTTTTTATTTGCAGCTTGTCCACAACAAGGTCCCCTAATGCAGTTTGCCAATGGCCGTCAAACGGAAAACTTTAAAATTTCCTTAAAATCTCCAAATACTCTAAAGAATACTACACCACCAAATGGCAGCTCGTCCGCACACAGTATGCAAGGCAACAGTGCGTCTAGCTTGCATGCAGCTTCGCTTGGGCTCGGGCCAGCTGTATCAATATTACCTAATGTCACATCTACGAATCCAAAGACGCCGAGCCCAAGTACTAACGAGGTGGGCAGTAGGATCATTTGCACTTTTATGCATTCACGCAACTTATGCGGTTGCGCAAATGCTTTACAAAATTGTATACTAAATTTTTTTTTTATTTATTTATTTTTTTACTTATCTTTGCAAACTATATAGAACGCAAAAGATTTCACTGAACCGATTGACAAGGTTCGTGATGATTCCATAAATGATCTAATTGCCACAATTGCCAAATTAGATTCGAATGGTGTTCAAGTCTTGCCAGAGGGGCGTACCAAAACCACATCACCACAAGTGCATAGCTCAACCGATCTTTCCAATACCCAAGAAGGTAAGCAACTAAATAAATAGTATAAAATGTCTTAGTTGTTGTTGTTTTCACATGTCTAGATATGTATATGTACATACATATATGTTCGTGCTCGAATCTTGGTTTGATTTAATTCTGATTCATCAACATTCATGTCATAGTAGACATATTTTGATGCATCAGCAATTAATCAACAAGCCACATTTTCGATTACAAAAATATATTTTCCTTTTGCTTACTCATCAATGCAATTCACTAGTTTGTAAATTATTAACCGCAACTGGAAAACTTGCGAAATTCGGCATACATGCTTCCTAACGTCATTATGAATGTAAATTTCAAATTCCTTAATAGTTTTCCAGTTATCAGTGTCGTTTATTTGTATTACAAAAAAAAAAAAAAAACAAGAAAAAAAAACAATTGTATTATTTTACTATTTCATCCCTAAAAGCTGATTAATCTACAATTACTCGTAACTTTGCTTTGTTTATTTCTTTTTCAAATATATCGAATCAAATCATATCGTAATCGAATTAAACTTTGGTCTCTTTCAATAATGCATACTAATCATTAATGCCAAAAACATCTCTATATATATATATATAAATAAATTCAATAAACAACAAAAACCCATGTAATATAAACAACATAAAATTACTCGAACAAACTGAAAACTAATTAGTTAATACTAAAAATGATCAAAAAGACGACCCGAACGAAGATTGGTGTGCCGTTTGCCTTGACGGTGGAGAGCTCATGTGCTGCGACAAGTGTCCGAAAGTATTCCATCAAAATTGTCACATACCTGCCATCAGTTCTTTGCCCGACGAAAGTGAAAGTTGGCAATGTCTATTGTGCGTGAACCTTAAAGATTTGGCTAACAATGCAGAGAACACACAGAAAGCACCCGGCGAATTGAGTCGACTTGAATTGCAGATCATGCAGCGCATTTGTCTCGAATTGTACTGTCAGTATGAGCAGAGTCTACAGTTTCGCGAACCGGAACCACCTACCAATACAGCCTATTATGAAATTGTTTGCAAGTGAGTATGCTCGTATTTTTTTTTTAACATATTATAGCACAATATTATCGCCTATCATGTCTTTTAGCCCGATGTCTTTAGATGTTATACGTTCACGATTAGATCCTACCAGTCCAAATCACTATAAGGATATCGCTGGTTTCGTATCAGATGTACGTTTAATATTTAAAAATACCTACCTTTTTTATCAAGTAAGTACAACAACGTTTTCCGCACTAATTGTCAAAATATTCAAACCTGTTTGCTAATTACTAATTAATCCATTTTTTTAAGGAGGATTCCAAGACATTCACAAATGCAAAATATTTGGAAAACTTTTTCGAAGAACAACTATCCAAATGGTTGCCAAATTTTGCCAGCAAAACGAATTCCAATATAACCAATGGCAGTGCACAAAATACACATAATCCTAATGCACCAAGTGTTAGTAATAATAGTGCGTCCACGTCGTCAGCACCTTCGCCAGGTCTCATGAATCTAGCAGCTAGTGGTGCTGTGGCTTCACCTGGTACTATTGCCACAATGGAGAATGGCAGACGGAGTTGCAGTGCAGCTGTTAGTGGTGATGATGACGGCTGCACTCCGGCGAAACGATTACGTAAACTAACCGAATAGGACAAATTTAATCAGCTACTTAACAGCATGCTGGCAACAATCAATAATGGCAATGATAGCGAAGAAGTTCTTGCATTGCTAAGTCTATGTTGTACGCCTCAGACACAACAGGGTTTACTACTATGTGACGACCGAAACAAGGATTGTAAAAATTGTTAACGATAAATGCACAACAAAAAAAAAAAAGTTTTAATAAAAATGTTGCAAATGTTGCAACTGAAAGACAAACAACTAACTTTGCAAATACATATATTGACATCATCAGTTTATCTGCATTTCGTTACACTATCAAAACAAATCGGTGTTTGAGAGCAACAAGTGAATAGTGAAAGGAAATGTACTCGTTTAATATAGTGATTTACGAAAGATTTTATTGGCATCGAATTTACACAAGTAATGTCACAGCACGGACACCAAAAAAAATATATGATGCTGCTGTCTACATCAAATGTATTGAAGTAACATTGAGAAGCTTCCCATACTATGACAAAAGAAATAGGTTATTTAATATACATATAAACTACTATAAACGCTATCAGTGTTAAATGAGACATTATTTGAAAGACAACGTTTTGAAATTAACTAGTAAATACATAACTTTATACATACGAGTATGTGTTGTAAAGTAATTTAATTAGAATATAACAAGTAAGAGAAAATTTCATTTTAAAACTTGGAAAAAGTATAAGCAAAATAAAAAAGTAATAGCTTATAATTTTTTTCAAAATGCACTTCATATAAACTAAACTAAAGCTGCACCCTAAAATAACCTTAGTAATGTTAAAACATTAAAACATAAAAAGATAACACAATTTATTGTATAAAATAAAAGGAATGAATAAAAAAGCATAATACATATTTATAGTGTATTTCACACAAAAACATTTGTACATAATTTATATTACATACACTATCATACCCAAAATGGTTCATAAATCAAAAATCACTATAAAACCGCAAAATTTGTCTACTATATCTCAAAAACAAAAAAAAAAAAAAAAAAAAATTTTTTTGGTTCGAAAAAAATTTACTTTAAACGAAAATCCATGTCACAGAAGCCAGGTATGCATTGAATAGATTTAGGAATCACATAATTTTTCTTTTTTTTTTTTACAGTTTAAAAATTATCAAAAGACAATTGTATGTATAACCGAATTGTTTGTGCGTAATGTGGAGCGATAAAAGCGAGGGGGGGGGGGGGGAGAAAATTTGTGATTTGTTAATTTAGCAATTAAACTAATATATGTAAGTGAAGATACACACAATATATTATCTGAGTATGCAGCTAAACGCTACATCAAAAATTGCGTGTAAAGTAGAGCGCATGATAATCCTCGATGCGAACAAAATTGAATTTTATAACAATTCCATTAAATCAACACATTACAACTATATAGCATGCTAATATTATTCACACAGTTTGTTTCCATTAACGTCTAACAGCCGTGGCATTTATTGATAGAATTTATTTCCACGTTTTTTTCCATTATCTCATAAAACAAAGTTGAAAAGTCAAGGCGGCTAACTAATTTCTAATTTTGTGATAAAATGAAATATTACTACAATAACCAAAAATCCTTCTTGCATAGCGCATTTTCATAAGAATTAAAACGTTTCAGTACATACATACATACATTCAATTCAAATTACTTATTAACTTGAAATTATTTATACCAAATAATCAATCTTTGAAATCACATTTATTATAATTTCACTGTAATTATTAAAATTAACTATGATAATACAAATCACGAATTTTATTAATAACCATCATAAAAACAGCATAATATAGGCTTATTGTAATTAGATTTCGCATACCAAGTATTTAAACTATAAACAAGTAAACACTAACAAACTCTACAAAATTGGTTAACTAAACCAAATAACCGTGCTAATAATAATAAAAATCAGTAATATAAATAACTACAAGTGTTGACCATAAAAAAACGTAGTATACTAATTTCCAGAAAATCAATGTTTTGAAAAGTTTCCACTTTTATTTGATCTTTACACAAGATTTGTCTGCTAAATAAACACTAAGTGAAAAGTAATGAAACATCAGTTAATGTTATGCACTATTTTTATTTAATTATATTGTTTATTATATGTAAAATGTATACGCCAGTAGTTATTTCAGATATTTAAAACTATTAGATTCGCTAGGAATACTGATAATAATAATGAAAAAAAAACACAATTTAATTAAAACAAATACCATGCATTAATATGTATCACAATACAAACAAAAAGTAAAAAATATTGACTAAATGTGAGACCTTTGTAATGTGAAATTAAATAAATCGAAATGGTAAGCATTTCCAACCCATCTCAATACGCAATTTCGTATGAAAACGTTACAAGGTCGCATATGTAAATTTATAAAACACATTGACATGCATACGTACACACAATACGTACTTCATGCATACATATTTATGCATAAAATTACTAAAGTTTATAGATTTTATTTTATAACTAGGCTTACATACATATATAATTTATAGTCGCTAATAACATAATGCGAATGCGAGCAAAATGTTAATTACTACTGGTGATGATGATGATGATGATGAAGAAGAGAAGTAGAATATACATACATGTGCGTGTGCACGCATTGATATGTTTGCGCGCATACCCATATGTAATATGTTATAAAAACCTATGTCTACTGCACTATTTCTAAGCAAAAAAATATATATGAATTAATAAACAACTGGATATTTAATGTAAAACAATTATCCGTCTTCTGATTTTTCTGCAAGTGTTGTTTAAACCACCTTAAAATGAGGGCATATTATATGTTAAAAAATAGTTAAACTTCTCATATTTGTTTTGTAGTTCTTTTTAAGAAATAATTTATATTATTTCTTAAACTACATTATAAATCGTTTATCAATGGAAGTCTTGGTCATAACATTTTGGCGTATCCAATTCTTGAATATATGTTGCAGCAGCTGTACAATAAAAAAAACATAAATCTATTAAACAAATTTACATACAACTATTATTTTTCTACTCAGCCATACCTTATTGAGTAAATAGACAACCGCCACCGCCAACATTAAGTTCAAAGTTAGCATATAAATGGCTAAAAGTAAAGCCAATTCCGTTGTATAGATATTAAAGCTATTGCCATACAGCAGCAATTGATCAAAGGATCTTTGTTTATCGATATAAAATGTGCCTTTATCTGCAATATTTAAAAATATATTTTAAAATTCTTCTTCAGTGATATAAAATAATATACGCGTATATATGTGTGTAGGTGATTTTAAGCTTTGCTTGAGTAATCTGCTCTTAGGTACAGAAATGTGGCTTTTGTCAAAGAAGTTTGCAATTGTAACAAATCGAATTTTTCATTCGGATTTCAACTTCGAGCGCCAGCCAATGAATTATACCATGAAAGGAGAACTTGTCTACCGCACCACTTCTTATTTTGTAGTATAGAATTCGCCTCCGAACTTCTTCAAAAGCCACTGGGCTTAATGAATACATTTATGGATATCAGTTATTACCAACTTCTCTACTCAAAAAAAAAAAATAAAATAAATAAAGTTTTAGGTAAAATTTGTTCTAGATTCTTTTTTTTAAATAGTGTGATAGAAAGAAAAAACTTTCGTTCAATTCCTCGTGAATTGATACTCGAAGGACTGTCAAATTTCAACAAGATCTGTTGGGAAACATTGGAGAACATAGCGCAACCGACTATGAAAACTCTTTAAAACTTAACAGCGCTGAGCCTATCTGCTTTTGAGTGCACACCTTCCCAAGACTATCGCCGAAACTAATATTTAGATCGACAGGACAATTTATGTTAATATTCTGAAGATTTTATGTGTGCAAATTGATAAGTCAATAAAAAATTCCCAAGCTCTTAATAAAACTAAAAGTTTACTTTGGGTAGACCTCAAAAAAAAAGTGTTATATCCAGCGGTAATAACTCAGTTTGAACAAGTTAGTAGTGCCAAAGATTCGGTATTACATATTGGTCTTTGTAGCCGCGACAAAGCGATTTTCGGCAGAGCTCCTACAATTTGTGGTTTCGCGCCTTGATGCTTTACCAACTAAATTTCCAAATCTTATAATCGACATTATAATGGTCAGTGGCTAAGCAGCTGCTTTAGTTAAGTTCAAAATGACTGCCTGACACCGATGATAGTGATACCACTGAGAACCTTAACCTACTGAAGCTGAAGTGGAGTTATCATAACATAGCAATCGACGTATTTTTCCTATTATATATCGCTCAAATCTTCAAAGATTGTCGTCACTAGTGAATTGAGTAAATTCTTCCTAAGTGCGTGGCATTCGCTAAGGAACTACCTTAGTAAAAATTTCCTATCTTTTTAGCGAAATTGAAAATTTATTGTTGTAAAAGCAGATTCAATAAATAAATAAAAAATGTTAATAAAGAGAAAATCTTACTTTCGGTTAAATAATTATCACATTCACATTGCAATAATGTCTCTATAAATGTTTTCTCTTTTATAATATAATCCATATCCTTAATGGCCTGAAATTAACAGATAACAATAACAATTTGTACTTTACAAAAACAAAACAATCATCAGTCACTACTTACGTGATCTATGAAAGCGCACAGGAAGCGATTTAGACTATTGAACGCTGCCGAGCTACGTTCCATTGCTGCATCAATGGTATTGATTTCCTTTTGAAAATGAGCTTGAGATATACTATACGAACGCTGATAGGGCGCCATCAGTTTCTCGAAATAATTTCTGTCAAAAGCGATAACATTAAAGAGCATAATTAGCTCTACAGGATGATAATTAAATTATATCAGCTGAAGAGATATTCGTCCGAGCTGCTCCTTCAAATTGTGGTGTTTATTTTGATGCTTGGAAGACCTTAAAACCTATAGCTTATTTTATGCCACCCTCCAACGGATAAAGTATTTTCAGGTGTAGTTTTCATTTTAAGGCGGAAATACAATCCGAGGGCTCGACATTCCATGCCGATTCGACGCCCACCCGTAATGCTTTTTTAAACGTAAGGTTTTCAATTGTGATTTGATTTCGTTAGCAATTTCATAATGAACAGACCTACTTCGGAACAAAGTTTGCAATTCGCGTAAATTTATTACCTAAATGAGGATTCCGTTCGCGAGTATGAAGACGCTAATGCTTCTATGGAGCAAAGTATCGAGGAAGACTCGATTGAGTCCATCCGCCATTGCGCCCAACAATTGGAGCCATGTGAATCTACTTTATGAAAGGTCTTGAGTTGTGGGCATACACAATCCAAGTCGTGCAAATGGGTCTTACGTTTGGTGAATAGACCCAAAACGAACAAGAAAATTTTATTTCATCGATGAATCTCACTTTTCGTTGCATGAGTATGTTACGTCGTTACATCCTCAAAAGGTCACTGTTTGGTGTGCTCTACGAGCAGAGGGAATCACTAGTGCAGATATCTTCAAAAAATGAAGACATTATGGCCATTATTGTCAATGGAGAACGCTATAGAGCCATAATTAACGTCTTTGTCATGCCTGAATCGGGGAATGTTGATGTGGAGAAAGATGGCGCTACATGCCACACAGCCAATGAAGCAAGCAATTTATTCTAACTTGAAGCTTTAGGTGAGCGCCCTATCTCGCGTGGAGATCTCCAAGATGATGCGATTTAAACCCGTTGCACCATTTTTTTTGTAAGTTAACGTTGGATGAGTTCGAAAAGAATGCCAGGGTCCTCTGGTTCGACCAACATTCAAAATTATTTTTTTAATTGCGCTCTCCCCTCGGCAGGGGATTTGAATACCTCGGGGTGTTGCATGCCTGTCGTAAGAGGTGACTTCAATTTAAAAGTTCCCGCGACAGTCGGGTCTTTATACCGGAACGACCCGGATTTTTATCCGGCCAAGGGCTGTCACTCCCGCAACATTCCCCAAAAAGTACTTCGAGGAATATTTTTGCGGTTACAACAAAAACAACAACCTCGGAGTGTATTTCTGACATGGCATAAAAGCTCCCCATAAAAATTTATTGGACGTTTGGACGGGGCTTGGAATAAATTATAGTTCCCCCCTTTTGTTGCAAGAATAAGCGATGGCACTCAACATATTAGAACTGTTAATCGAGAGCCAAGAGACGAGTTTTCTGAAGAAAGTTCGCGTCTGGCGTCGGTTTTCAATGGTCAGCAATACTTAATCAGCTCCTTTGTGCAACGTTTTCCAGCTGGGCTTATGGATTTAGAATTGATTTACTTACCGCAAATTCAAAGGTGGTAAAATTATGTAGCTCTGCTGATCCGAATCACCCAATAAACCTTTGCGACTACAACGATTCTGTGAGTTACGTTGCATTTGTGTCAGCATTGAATACATATCCGTATCGGCAAATCCATTTGGGGAACGTCCATGAATGTAGTAGCCAAAGCTATGCTCCAACAATATAAATACCGAGATATTTGATAAAGAGCACAGATCGATGAATTTTAGAAGAGGATCGCCGAAAATGCGATTCAAAAGGAAATTACGCGCTATTAGCTGCGCGCTGTAAATCACCGCGCTAACGGTGAATATGAAAAATATTTGCATGGCGAGATCTTGATTGATTGCATGAAGAGTGAAAAGCTGCAAAGAAGAGTAAAATATATTAAATGTATATTGTTGTTGTAGTACATTACCTGCACAACCGGTAGCATTAGTAATGCCTGCAATGCCGCAGAGTGTTTCTCCATCACACTGAAACGCATCCATTCATTTGCTACGAAAATTATACGCCACGTCGAAACATTCTCCGATGCGAAAGTTCGCACACTCGAACAGACGGAAGACGTTTCCAGATTGTTCTTCAACGTGAAGTGATTGCTTTCACAACTACGCGGGCGCTCCCAGTCAATGAGGAATAGATCAAAGTGACTGATACGCCAAAAGTGCACACAAATAAATATCAACTGTGGAAGAAATAAACTCAATTAAAAGCATTCTATGCATTGCCGCTCCACACCGCCAACAACACAGGCGATTTACCTTCAACAATCCTGCTACATAAATTAGAATTTGCAATGAGCTCTGATCGTTCTTCATGATGGGCGTTGTGATCTCGACGTAGCGTTGCATAAGAAATCGCAGTGGATAAAAGCAAATGTAGAAAAGGAAGCACAATAACAACGCATTGGCGGCGTAAGATATGAAGTGGAGTAGGAATTCCAATAAGCAAGTGGATGGCGCACAAAACTCAGTTGACTTCGCTGTCGCTGTCGCTACGACGCTATTACGCTTTCTATAGTTATACATGCGGAACATGGCTATTAGCAATGCGATGGCTAAAACGGCGGGTAAAACTATTTCAAATATGAATCTTCTTTGTGTATGCTCTCCCCAGCGTTCAAATGTAATTTGCATTTTAAATGGATGCGCAGCATTGAGTGTGGTGTTTGCGCCTATCTCCAAGTGGCGATAGCGCAACTTCACAAGCGGTAGTCCAATCTGATCGTTGTCATAAATCTTATAGTGTAGTTCGAAAGATTCCACATACCTAATACCACGGTAAAGCGACAGTTTGAAAGTGTCTTCATACTTGGCATGTACGTTGTGGTTGTAGACATGTCGCGGCTGTGCTGCGATTAACTCAAAACGTTTCACCAACAGCCATTCGTCGGATTGTGGACGCTGAAATAGAGAGTGTGGATGTTGTATAGATATAAAAGTTTATAAAAAAGAATATATGTACATATATCAACCAACTCGGGTGTCTTTCCCCGCGTACATGCCTAAAAAAGAAATCAGTCGATTATCGATTTGGATTCATCCAACAAGGTTGAAGTCCATCCTAGTTACAAGTTAACAATAACCTTCGTTATTTCTTTTTCAGAAGGCTTTGTGTAAGATTCACTTACTGGACCTTTAACCTGAGCTCCAAAAGTTTTTGAAATGCCAAAATTATATTCCTTAATGTAGGTCTGGATTCGGTATGTCCGCTAAATTTACACGGCTATATAAACTGGACCTTAAACATCACTAAAAGCTCCGTCAGGAACGAGAAAGACTTCTCCAAGCGGTTTGTACCAAACGAGGCTTCAGACGGGTAGCTCTTTATCATGTGACTTCTTTAATTTATTGCCGGAGGAAATAATACGAGCTCCAAAGCTGAATAGAGAAGGTACATCTTATATAAGAGCGTGTAGCTGCTAGAGTATGCGATGATTTTGACATTATTGGTCTCAACAAGCGCGTCGTAAGCTCTGCTCTTCCAGACTGAATAAGTAAGCGAGGTATACGAGTCTAGTATTGAACGAGGACAAGACTATTAACAGACGTCATTTTGAAGTCGTGGACAATTTCATCTACCTTGGAAACAGTATTAACACTAACAACCATGCCAGCGTGGAAATTTAGCGCAGATTCACTCCAGCTAACCGCTGCTACTTTAGACTGAGAATGTAATTGAAAAGTGACGAATGAAAACCAAATTCTGCAAATCGTTCATCATTGCCGTCCTGCTCTATGGTGCGGAGGCATGGATTGTAGGAGTTTCCGAGAGAAAGGTTTTGCGTAAGATTTATGGTCCTCTATGAGTTGGGAATGGCGAATCTCGCTGCGCTGGATAGATCATTTCGTCGTCCGAATGAGTAAGAATACCCTAGCTTTGAAATTTTTCGGTGCAGTAGCCGCCGGTGAAAAAGGACCAGGCTATACTTGGTATTTCCGATCAAAGCCAAACTGCGAAAAGAAGTAATGAATGGCGCATTGTTATTAACTCGGTTATAAAGAAGGATGGAATCATACCAGTTCGCTATGAATGATTGTTATCAGAGGAACTACGACGCTAACGACCAGGTGTCGAACAAATCTTGTATTTCTGGTATATATACACATACATATTTTGGCCACTGGAGTGATTTTCGGCCGAGCTCTGTCCTCCAATTTGTGGTTTTGCGTCTTGATGTTTTTCCAGCAAATTGAGAAACCTGCAGTTTATTCTTCCGCGCCTCCAAACAGCAGATGGACTGTTATGAGGAGCTTTTGTTTTATGTCAGAAACACTCCAAAGTGTTTGACACTCTCAGCTTCCCGAAAAAGTACGAAGATCAAGCCATAAACGAAATGTACAAGCTTCTAGGACGTCTTTTACAAAAGCCTCACATCGGAAATTAAACTTGGCGTATAGTTTTTTTGCAAATTTCAGCCGTCATTACGTTTTCCGTTTAAAAAACAGAAACAGGCACAAAAAAAAACAACAATAGAGTAATATTTATACTTACTAAATTCTCTGCGGAGATGTCTTCAATCAACACGGGTAGAGCTTGTAATTTACTATTCTTCGCGTCGCCCGAAGTGTTCAAAAATAAGCTGTAAAAATTGTTGTTTGCATAAATCGCAGCCAAATCAATCAGATTCTCCACTGTCAAACTGCACTGAATTGGCTTGACGAACCGAGCAAACTGAATTTCCTCTTGTGGATTCCAATCAGCGGCAAAGCTTTGTGCATGCAGTTGGCATAAATTGATATGGCTCATTTTGAATGCACCCCAACGACGCAAGGTGCCATCCAAGGAAAAGACGGTGCTAAATAGTTGCAGCTGTTTACGGTGAAAACAAAAACATACATACATACATACATATGTATGTACATATGCATATAGCATTACAGTTACACTAGTATTAAGCGATACTCGAGATACTCACTCCGCCGGTGGCCATCTTAAGAGTCAAGGGTTCCATTAGCCTTTTAGCGGTCTGTTTGCCTTTCTTGTAGTACAATGAGGGTTTCGTCGCTTGTAGGTGCTCGTCCATGCTGGCATATTTGATGGCTACATCTGACACTTGTGTCAGCAAAAAAGCACTACACGGCGAGCTCTTATCGGTGGAGTAGTGCGACATTACACAAAGATTCGCTAGCTGACTGCATGCTGTGCTATTTCGTAGCGCCAAACAGAAGAAGGCCACGAACTTAAGATCACCAAAGTGCACCGCATTGGCGCTGGTCGATTGCCAAAAAGAGTTGTATTTCAAATACGGTTTCAGCAGTGCATTTCCTATGCAATAGTCCATGTAACGGAAGTTGTATTTCAAATCGCAAATATGACAAATTTCGCTGGCGGAAAAACCAGCTGGTTTTATGCGTATCGGTCGCGTTGCAGCAATATTCCGTGCGTTGTAGTCGGTGGTTGTTTGTGTAAAGTTAATTAATTTGAATTCGCAGGCAGCTTTAGCGGTGTTATTTGTAATAATTTGACAGTCGTTGTCTGTGGGCAAGGAATCCAAACACTTTTCCCGGCAAATTGGATTGTGAGCGAGTGTGTCATATAAAGCGACAGTCACATAATTGCTTGCACACTCACAGTTGATCTCTGAAATACACGGTTGTGATCATTAGACCTGCTTGTATGTAGATATATCTAGAAGCAAGCGTCTTGCTTATAATCGACTTGTAGACATTTCTCCGTTCATTAAAAGACAACTTTACCTACTTCGTGGATCCTACTTTTAAGAGTATTTTCCATCGGCGTAAACGAGGTTAGAGAGCGGAATATAAACAATCTCGATTTGTACACCGAAGGTTGATGGCACTTAGCTGAGAAGTAGATTCAGACAGTGCGCTGAATTAATGCTCGGGGTTAGAAAATGAGGTTTCAGACAGGGTGACGCTTTATCATGAGATTTTCTCAATTTGTTGCTGGAGAAAATATTATGCGCTGCAGACCTAAATAGAAAAAGCGCAATCTTTTACAACTGCTGGCGCACGCTTTAACAACCTCGCCGTGAGTTCTGTTTTCTCCACACTGTATAAGGAAGCGAAGGATATGGGTCTGGCAGTGAACGAGAGCAAGACGAAAGATCTCCTGTCATCAAACAAAAAAATTACGCATTTACGTAACGAGGCCGTAGATAATTTCGTCCATCTAGGGACCACTATTATATATATATTGGCGCTTTGTAACAGCTGAAGCGATTTTCGGCCGAACTCCTCCTCTAATTTGTGGTTTTTCGTCTTGATGCTTTTCCAACAAATGGAGGGACCTACTAAACCGCCTCCGAACGGCTGATGGTTTTTTATGAGAAGCTTTATTTCTTGTGAGAAATACACTCGGGGGTTGACATTTCCTGCCGTGGCAAAAGACTCCTCAATATCGCATACAAAATCCCATCGAGTGTGTGAAAGACTAAAGCTCACAGCCAACAAACTAATTTGATTGGTTGCATATTCAATAGTCATTCAACAACATAAATACATGTACTCCAGCTTAAGCACTTCGTTTTAAGGATCAGATGAAGAGCGGCCGGATTTCATTTAGTTTTTCTAGATCTAACTGTGATTCGGCTATAATCGCTTAAACAGTGCCCACTCCAATGAAGAAGAAGTACCATCAGCGCTTTCGGCTTTTCACTTAAGAGAACATAAACAACAGACTTCGTAGCCCTCGGATAACCACTAATTTCGGATAACCATTAAAACTTTGTGGCACTGATCGCCGACAAGCATGAATAGACAAACAATGATGGTACTTCAGCTGAAAGCTTTCAAATATACATAGATGAGGAAGTAGGTGAAGGTATTCTCTCTCGTAATCCTTCATTGAAGCTATAAATGAATATTTTAGCAAGAGAAATTTTGTTGCTGTTATAGAGACTTGCTCAACCTAGTCTGGTAGAAGGCAAAGTCACTCAAGCTCATCTATCGTGACTTCCAAAAAATCAGGTATTTCAACGACCTAGCCCCTTTGACGTCAAGAAGTAAAGGGGTTAAGGGGGAGACCTTCATTAGCACTAAATAGTATCGATCACGAAAAACTCTAAACATCTTCACGAATTTCCTCTCCGTGTATGTCGCCGTGGTAGTCCAAATTCCACCCATTGCAGACGAAGAGCAGTGACAACAACCAAGGTTTAAGTACAATAACAAGTGGAGCTTTTATATACTAGAGAGGATCAAGCATGTTTAAGCTGCTTTAGAGAGCATAATCAGACGAAACCAAACCCGGCGATCAGAATTTGAGTGTGCTGCTCCCAATCTGCAATAAGAAGAACCCCTCTTAATATCGCGTATAAGCTATTTTGTAGCGTACTGTGTGGCAGACAAAAAACATCTGGAAAAAGAATCAGCACAATCCACCCACCGCCGATTTTAAAGCTACCTTCGATAACACAAAAAGGAGCTGCGAGATTCTAAACAAGGTTTCAGACAGCGTGACCTCTCACGCCGTATACTACAGCCTATTGAACAATGAATTGTATGTGAAACATGTCTGCCCAATCCACAAAATGGGTGATCGCACAGTCTGTGCCAATTACAGTGAAGCTTTTATAACCGCTGAAGCGATTTTCGGCCGAGCTCCTCCTCCAATTTGTGATTTTGCATCTTGATATTTTTCCAACAAATGGAGAGACCTATAGTTTATACTAAGCCGTCATTGATTGGCCAGTGGTTTTTTATGACAAGCTTTTATTTCATGCTAAAAATACATTCGGGGGCTTGGGTGTGGTTTCTTATCATGAGACTTCTTCCATTTATTGATGTTATATGGTCCGAATGGATAAGTACATACAAATATTCCATCTTAAGCAAGCTTCGTGGCAGTAACCAACGGTTGAGTATAGCAAGAGGAAGACATCCACCCCGTTAGAAAGATCAGATAAAGCAGAGCACGGCTTGGCGTCGCAGGGCTAACGGAAAAAACGATTGAAACGCTCTTGTTAACCCGAAAATTGTCTACGATAATAAAGTTTTTTATATGATTTGTCCACATTTGCATATAGTACATATACGTAGATATATACATACATACAGTTTATGCACTTGCACTTAATGCGATAATTTTCAATGCGTTTCCAACTGTTTAATCGATACTCACTATCTGTCGTTGATTGTAAATTTTCCTCTTCTTTACCGCAAGCCACACAAGCAAATGTATCCAGATCATAAAATTCGTTATATTTGCATTGACTCGTGTGGTGGAAGGGGTATATGGGATAATTTGAAATTTTTAACATTATTTCCGGTGCGTGGCTGCTACCCGAAGCCGAGCTGGTCAGCATTTGGAAGAATAAGTTAGCACAAAGGAAGCTCAGTTTGATTAAAAAACACATTTTATAACTTTTCAGCTGCAATAACAGTTACATACGTATTATATATTGTATTAAAAAATATTTTTTTAACAATTTTCTATTTTAAACGTCACTATGCTCGAACGATGACAAAGAGCCAACTAAATAATTTATATACTGGAGAGCATTGCACTAACCCAAAGTATACGGTAACTATATATACATATTTGTATGTAGGCACATATTCGTATGTATGTATGTATGTATGTACTTAAAAAAGGACTTGAGGTTGCAAGTTGGCCTGTAAGTCGCGTGCGTGTTTAATGCCATTTCGAGATTATTTAAAGGAGTTCATTCATTCAAGTTTTGTTTACATAACCACGGCATAGAGTTACTATAGCTACCCTACCCCCGGCAGAAGTGTGTCTACATGGCATGCAAATCAGCAAAGCGATTTTAGTTTACTTTCGTTAGGGTTGAACAGACCGCGAAATACACTAATTTAAGATTCTGATTGCCTTTTTTATTGATTTGTATTTTTTTTTTTTTGGTCCTACTGCGTACGTAAGGTATATTAGGTTTGTTTAACTAACAGTTGTCTGCAATGGCATGAGATAATCGAGACAAATGCATACATCGAAGCCGTGGCATGACAGTAAAAACAGAGGAAACCTTGTTGGCATGTACGAGGAAGCGTTTTTATGTTCCCGAAATGAGAGTGTTGTAGGGTGGGGATTGGGATCGTAAGGTATTCAGTGACTCATAATTAGTATAAATATGAGGTTTTCTCTTATTAGACAAACCTGTCAACATAATCGGAAGGGAAAATCGCTTATCCTGCCGTTATAAAGTTTCATATCAAGAAAAATTACTTTACGCCGATCCTTGTTTGAGCAAATCCATGATGCATATGTGAAACAGTTTCTTTAAACAAAGAAAAGAGTCTCCTGAATATGAAGCGAGGCAGGGCTGGAGCGTAGAAGTGACCACGCCAGAACTTATTCAACAAGTTGAAAAAAAAATTACCTCGGGGATGCTCGACTAAAGAAGAAAAAGCGCGCAGAAATAGTTATAGTATCCGATACAACAATTTTTACAAACCTTCGTGATCATCTTGGCATGACTAAGGTCCGCGGAAGATGGATGTGGAAAACGCCTACATCGCCACAAAGCAACGGCGCATAGAGTTGTGAAGTGCATTTTTGGACCTCTTTAATGAAGACACTCTCTTTGTTTTGAGTCGAATTCTTACTGTAGACGAAGCTTGGGTTCGTCATTATGAGCCCGAGTCGAAACAAGACTATATGCTGTGGCATAATAAGAACTTTGATGAAATAAAGTTGGCAGTTTCGGCGTATTTTGAAGTAAAGGGAAAACATTTAAATTAAAGATCTAAAAAATGTATCCGTTTTGCCATGGAATATGTGAATATGTTGCAAAGAAAAAATAATATCCACCATACCGCGAACATAAAATCACTCTCGCGTATATCTGTGCCTCCATCTATCCGTCACTAATTTTTTTGTGATTCTGATATGTCTATTGGCTTAACAGTGATTATAAGAGATTTTTTCGGAATAATTTGATCTTGCTTTGATAAGTGTTCCGCAAAAATTCCAAATTGAACTACTACAGAAACTATGCTTATGGTCCACCATCTTCTAGTATGAATTATGCTCAGCCATATAATATTCGATCCCTAGCGAACTTGGACCTATGTATCCTAAGCATATATAGCAATATTTCTACAACAACAACCTCTACCTCTATCGCCTAACTGCTTCTAGGCATATGTATTGTACATATATGACTTGTACATTAGCAGGAAAAATGATAATTGTAATTGTTTATGTAATAGACCGTTAGGCTAGCATAATTTATACTCTCATTCATACTACCAAGACAATATTTTCTTTGTCTTTTGCAAAGTCCGAAATTAAAGTGGACAACCGAATATAAATAAAGCGAGGCGACACCGTCCATCACAGACGAAGAGTTCGAGCTGTCTCGTGAGATTCAAGAAAAACTGGAACAACTAAGATCTGTATATTGAAGACGACTCAATTTCTACTTGCTCGCACGACTTTTCCAGTGAGTAACATCAATAACTGTAGGTTCCTCCATTTATTGGAAAAACATTAAGACGCAAAACCACAACTTGGAGGAGGAGCTCGGCCGGAAATTACTTCAGCGGTTACAAAGCGCCAATTATATATATATATATATAATTTCATAAATTCTACAAAAATTTGTCAGTTTCTTCTTCTTATAGTGACGATAATTGGAATCTGAAAAACGAGCCTCGGAGTATATTTAAGTTATGTAGGGAGCAATTCTCAGAAAGTGTCAACCGGTGATGGCGAACCCGAAAACCCAAACGATGACGATGACACATGTCAACTCTTTAGTGGCTCGTCATTACCGTCGTTTTTATTGTTGTTGTAGTAGTTTACCAACCCCGTTTAGGAGGCTAGATCAATCTAAGTCATCGAGGTCATCTAACGGAAGCACTAGTAAATGAGCTTCGAAAGAGAGTTCCGGAAGATGTTGACGGACTGGTGAATGACGATTAATGCCTGTCGGTAAGTCGTCCAGTCCAGCGGTTGTTCTAGGTGTTGCTCAATGCAGTCGTTTAGGACAAGTAATCCATTTCTGATGCTAAGCATTATGCTCACGTCCTGCTATATAGTGCGGAGGTAAATGTTTAGCGAAAAATTTATGACAGCGCCGAATACACAGCTGAGCTGAACGAGATATACGGCGATATTGACATAGTTTAACGAATCAAGATACGGCGATTATTAAGTGACGAGATCCGGATGGATGAGAACACTTCATTTTTGATAGAATCGATACATTTTCTGTCCGTGTAAGGAGAGGAATGGGAAGTCCTCCATTCCGTTGGAAAGATCAGGGAGAAGAAAGACGTAGCTACATTTGGTCTTTTCAATTGTCGCAAAACAAATAAAAAATAAATTGTATCTTTCAAATAAACCCTGCAAGCTAAGTGTATTAGTTTGATGCATTAAAATCGCTCATCTAACATCTCCGTCCTTGGTTCAACTTTTTCGAAATACTACCAATCAAAAAAAACCGCAATTTGTAACAAAAAACACTTTATTTTTTCCTTTTGTAGAAAATGAAAATAACAGTAAAAATGGAAATGAATTCAAATACTTATATAAAACAAAGACTGCAACGGCTGTATAATATTATATTTGGAATGCGAAGGCATTTTGGGAATTCATCATTTTTCCATTAAATACAATGTGCACGGTCATGCGTTCGTTGTAAATCAAATTGGGCAGAAGCTGAAATTTTTTTGAATATTTATATTCAAGCTATTTTGTATATCGAAATCGTGAAATTCTTACTTTTGGGGTAACAAAAAAATATTGTGCGCGTCCAACTTGAGTTGTTTCCTTAACAAGCATTTCAAATATTTTGCGTTCATTATTTGCGTCCATGCCTTGATTAATTTCATCTACACACCTGATGAAAAAACACAAGGGAAAATTAGAGCATGTCATGTATAATGAGATTATTTAGATTTTCATGTAATTTACCGAAATGGAACGTGCGTGATATGTTGTAAGGACAAAGTGTAGGTCGCAATTGCCACAGCTCGCTCACCGCCAGATTGTGTGTGCCGATCAAGCGCCTGCAACTGTGCATTACTACGATACTGCACCATGATTTGTATTCCGTATGTGTCGTAATCATGCTGTGTAAATAAAGTAATGTAATATATTTGTCCATACATAAATAAATTTTGTTTTAATGAAAATTTACCTCATCACGCCGTACTAAGTTCACTTCGCCCACATAACCCATAGATGACATAAAATCACTAAAGTGTTTATTTAGAGTGCTGACTATGTTTGCTATTTCGGAATACCAGCCCTCATGTAGTGCATTTATCTGTGTGGACATATCTTGACGATTATACTCAGCATTTTGCATATCTGCCTTGATTTTCTCAATGTCTGCAGACTTTTGTCTGAACTCTGCAACAATCTAAATACGAACAGAAGTCTATAGCAAACATGACTTATAACAAATTTTAGTTAATTCAAATCTTACATTTTGATCCACATCTCCCATGCATTCTAAACGTGCTTTAAACTCATTTATCGACTCCTTCAGTTCATCCAAAGTATCTGGCAGCGAATTGAAGAGCTCAACAGATTTACATGCTCTTTTCGCTTTACGAGCTTCAGACATTTTGGTTTCCAACTGTTGTTTGGTCTTGTCTAAAGTTCTTGTGACAGTTTCCACCATACGCTAAATATTACAGGTATAATGGCATGAGAGTATGTATGGATATACACTATACATAAGCACATAATAACATATACTGCATACCATTGCTTGATCCTTATTATCTTTTAACTCCTTTATTGTACTGATAAGCTCTTCGTTCTCTTGCTTGAAAATTCTCTCTTTCATGACAGCAACTTTTTTTTCAACAAAAACCTGCTGCAACTCATTTAATAGTGCAATTTTTTCCCGTTGCAACTGCATAATTTCTTGCAGACAACTTTTGACTTTCTCTGTTAGATTTCGTTCTAGTTCAGGTAAACCTTGAGGGATTGAACCAAGACTATGTTATTAAGTAAAAGTTTAAGAATTTTTTAAACACTTACTAATTACATTGTTTTTCATTTGTTGCACTTTAATGGCCTGTCTCCGAAATTCCTCCTCCAATTTTGCTCTCTCCGTTAATTTACTGTTGATTGTACGGTTTTTAACCTTTAATTCTTCGCGTTTAACATTTATTTCCTCGATTTTAGCTTCTAAAGTTGAACGCCGGTTCTTTAGTGTATCACTAGCGCGTGTTAATTCCCGTAAGCTGTGTAAAAAATGTTTACGGTATATTTACATAGATACGTATATTGTAATATAAAATTTGTCATTTTACCGTGACTCATTTTTAAGGATCTCATTGGTGTTTTTGCTAGTCAATAGGTTTCTGCCACTAATTTGATTTTGCAAAATTGATTTTTCGCCTGAATACCTAGAAACGCTGACCGCATAACGCTGATCGCCTATTGGATAAATGTATATATGTATTACTAGTTGATTAAAAGATCATAACAGCAATTTGAAAATATGTTAGTAACGATTGCATCCAATGCACATACATACATATGCAATGTTGTTTTTACATATTATTACCTCCAAAGAAAAGATTAATGTTATTTGGTACGTCGTCGGTTTTGTCATTTACATCAGACGAACCGATCGGTATTTTATGAATATTGTTTAAATTGCATAAGTAATTAATTATAGCAGGCGGGCCTTCAATCAAGTCAATCAAATAAGCAGTGAATCCACAAAACCTATTTAAATACATACAAAGTCAAACTATTGTTTACATAATTATAATAACTTTGATCGACCTTAGTGCTTCAATTGGTCTATCAGCATGATAGTTTATTCTGTTAGCAGCGGGTGCATGACCAACATTTATTTGTAATTTTTGTTTTACACATAACTCATTAACAAGTAGTGAAACATCCTCTTTATTCTCACAAGTGAATGCCAGCAAATCCCTTGCATTGATTGTATTTTCAAAATACTTGGCATGTTCGGGATCTCTTACGGTTAACTGTAACATAATAGCATTTAGAAAGTGATACAGGCGTAAATATAAATAATTCACCTCTAATATCATTGGCTTGTATACGGTTCCCTTAAATAATTGCTGATGATCCCTTAACCATTGTACTGCTCGATAGACATCTGGATATTTTTCTTCTAATAACTAAAGCAAAATTTCAATTAAAAGTGAAAGCAATAAAGGAGTAAGCATAGCTTACCTTTAACTTTTGGGCATGAACGTCATTTGAGCGTTCTATGCGTCTCCTTAAAAATCCTATCTCTGGTCCATATTTTTCATCTAGTTCTCTATTAATTTCTAAACGTTGCTTTAGATGTTCAGCTAATTGTTCTTTAAGGTCTTGAATATTACGCGCAATTACATTCATTTCAGCAGTCCAATCCTTTTCCGCATAATTTTCTTTTGCTTTTGTAAGATCTCGTAACAATAATTGCAACATTTTAGTTTCCTCTTCTAAATCTTTGTCGTAATCGGCTTTTTCGCGTTTCCTTTTCTATAAGTACATAAAATAAATCCCTTTATGAATTTATTAATGATATATACTTTTATAGTTAATTTACCAAATACTTGGTCCGAGCCTGCTCAACTTGGTCTTTTAATGCTTTTATTTGATCATCGATACCTTCCTTTTTTGTTAAAACTGTTTTCTCTTCTTGCTCCTAGTTTAAATTTAGCATACAATTAGATAAACTTTCATTATTGTAGAACTATACAAAAAGTACCTTGAGAGTAATATTTCTAGCGAATTCCTGTGAAGTTTTTGCTATTTCGCTTTGCCGCCTCATAATGTTGTCGTATGCCTGCTGATCTTCTTCAAGCTTTCGTTTAGCTAATGTTAAATCTTTTGTTTGTTGCTTTTTCTGTTCATCCAAAGTGCTCGCCTCTAGATGTAATTTCTTAGCCTCACAAACATCTAATTTATTCTGATATTCCTGTTGTTCGTTGAATCGTTCCAAACGTTGTTGTAAACTAAAATAAAATAATCGTAATGCAAAATTCCGTAGTTGGTTTTCATTTCAAATACTTACGAATTACATTGTATTTGCAATTGCTCCAACTCCTCTTTTTTCTTTTTGACACCATTGCCTTCATTCAACTGGCTTTGACGTAGATTTTTCAATTCTTCAAAAGTATTAATTGTTTCATGACTACAAACCGAATTGATTGTGTTAAAGAAAATCTTTTGTGGATCCATTTTGGCAAAATCTTGCACCCGATCCTGAGGTAGAAACTGACACAAATTACCGATTTGAATTTTAAATTCCATTATAGCGGATAAATAGTTTTTCTCGGGTACCACGTCCTCTCCGATCTTATATTTAGATTTGCCATTGCGCGGAAAGCTTCGTTCAAAAATTGTTGATTTATCAGAAGTATCGCGGAAGATCTCAACTCTAATTATCGCTTCATCCCGACCATTTTTTACATAGTCACCAATAGAACTGGAGCGAGAAAGTAACTCAGGTTTACCACCTAAACCAAGTACAATTGCAGCCACAAGTGTTGATTTACCCGTGCCATTAGGTCCAATAATTACATTCAAATACTCTGTTGGATAAAATGTACATTCGCCGTATGTCCTGCAAAACATTTGAAATTAAAAAGTCTACATATGTGCATACTTTAATGACGTTTTGAATAGATATTTACACAAAGTTTTTGCAGTAAACGCTTTTAATTTTTCCTTTTACCGACACATTTACTTTACTATCAATTTGGATGGGCCGGTGTCTTTGCGTCGACATTCTGAAAAATTGAAATTTAGCGAATTCGTTCAAAGTAATTGCGCCATAAACTTAAAAATTTTATTTGTAAACAAATTTAACTTTTCAGTTTTGAAAAAGTTGCCACATTACGAAATTTCGTTAAACTCTGTTAAGTTGCTGTCAAGCCCAGCAAATTGTATTTAATTGAACGCATTTTCCTACCGACGTTTATTTATTATGCAATAAATAACAATTCGCTTTACTATACACAACGACTTATATTTCAATTCTTATATTCGAACATTTTCACTTTCAAGAGTTTACTTTTTAATTGATTAACTGCCGCGCTGGCGCCTCTCTCATATACCTCACCGATTTCCCGTACTCAGTTCTAGATTATTTTTAGTGTTTTTACGATAATCAGAATAACCGAATTTCGCACTCTGGAACATACATTTTCTAATTCAAACCCTACAAGACTTTCCAAATGGACCGTCTTCGTTTTTTTTTTATTTCCCAACGTTCTGGATTCGATACACTATGTTGTTAAGCCGTTTAACTCATATATATTTGGAGCTTGCCAATTGCCTTCAAATTTCGGTAACAAATCTCTCTTCCGTAGGTGGCTATATAACATTGAGTTCGAGATGTAGGATGTAGGAAGAGCTTGAGAAGCTGGCCAACGATGGCAATCTATTTGAGGTGGTGAAGAACTGCATGCATCAGAACTTTTTTGTAAAATATCGTCGGATGAAAGCATGTCAGACGATTGGGACGTAAGTGTGCTTTGCTCAATCGACTAAAATGCCTAATCCACAGTCAGCGCCAGTGATAAGCCTCCATAATATAATATGAGCTTCAGAGTGGAATAGAGAAAGTACAATCTTCTAAAAGAGTGTACAGCGAAGACAATATCTGCCTTGATATACAACGTAGAATCACTCTTATATGCGAATGCCACTTTGGACTGAATGAGCAATTGAAAAGTAATGTTCTCTCCCGACGAGCATAGACCAAACTCTACTAGTCGCTCTTTGTTCCCGTCCTGCTATATGTTGCGGAAACATGGACGATGACAACATCTGATGAGTCGGCGTTTGGAGTTTTCGAAAGAAATTTTTAACGTAAGATTTATGGTCCTCTGCGAGTTGGGAACTGCGAATATGATGATGGAACGATGAGCTGTACGCGTTATAAAATGACGTTGATGTAGATTGTTCAACGAATCAAGAGACGGAAGTTACGCTAAGTCATGTGGGCCAAATGAAAAGTCAAGGTAGAGAAGAAATTGGCTGTACTTGGTTTTTCCAATGGGCACAAGACAGCTAAAAGAAAGAGTCAACGCCTCGCTATTGTTAACTCGTCTATAATCGGGTAAGCGGTGTCTATGCCAGTTATGCAGAAGAAGAATGATTTTGTAAACATGGAAATGGAAAATTTTATTCAAAACATGTTTTATTGATTTTTTATGGTGGTGCGTAACTTTTAATGTTAATCAGTGCTTATAGTAGGTAGTACAATAACAATGCAATATAATACATGGTTAGTAAGTTTGCGTTCACACAGAGCAACTATTGTTGCGGAGTCTAAAAAGTTGTAAGGGTTTGCCTTTTAACAGATATTGTCCGAAACAAACTTCGCCCAAAATAGAGATTTGCAACAAGTCACCTTTCCCTATTCAAAGTCATCTATGAAATTTTAAATTTGAATGTCTCGCAGCCAGTCAGCCGAACGCCATTACTTTGATCCACACTTCAGATAATAAAACAAAAAAGTGGCCAAGGTAATGATGATTTAAACTAACGGTACTGTCACATCTCTATTGCCCAGCAAACATTTTTGGACCGTATGGTCGATTGGAGTAATCAAATAAGTACACTCTGCAGTGCACTATTGGACCAACTGGCGTTTAGCTACTAGCACGTTTTAGCCGTTCTTTGCTCGTGTTTTAACGATCGCAATTATTTAGAAGTTGCGCAATAAGAATTATATACGTAGACAGAAAAAGGGGTGAAATTTCGTTTCGTTGTTGAGCTCAGTTGGTGCAACAATTTGAACTTATATATTCCAATGTAAATAGATCAAAAGAGCAAATTGATTTTAAGTTGTTGTTATATATTTATTGGCAATAAACTATTAATACTAATTTAAATTTATATGATGAATATATTTAGTTTTACTAACTGTTCACCAAGCGTATTGTATTAGCAACTTAAAAGTGTATTCGAATGAAATTTTTCCTATACTCGTATACTCCATAATACGATATACTGAATGAACTCCATCGGTTACTCGGATGTTTTGCAGCGTTGGAGTACATGGTCCAGTCCTAGGATTGTGGTTAGTTTTGGATTACTCTATTGTCAGCGTGGAGTATATATATAAACGTATTTCAAGCGCGCGCTTGGAGTAGTCGCGTTGTTTGCAGGGTGTTTGCAGCCCACACTAAAGAGTTTAACAAAATTGTGCATATGGGCGGTAGTTGCGTCCGTCCGACTGATTACGACGTGCGCGTATTCAAAATTCCAGGGATGACTTTGAATTTGCGAAAAAAGAATGTTTCTACTATATTACGAAATCAGAAAGATCTAAGACAAACAAAATATGTACACATAAGTAAAGAAAAAAAAGATGCTTGAAACGAAGAACTATAATTGTGTATATTATATTTAACTTAGTTTATATATTTATATGTATATGTGTATACTTTTGTGTAAACATATGTAAATATGCAATATAAAGAAAAAATTTATCACGAAAAACTCTCAGATACAAAATATATACATAGGAGACTAACGTGCAAAAAAAAAAGAAATCAAATTTATGTGGAAAATAATCTAAAAGTAAAAAAAAAAATATTAAACATCCACAGTGCATATAATAACAGATATTTGATTACAATAAGTCGAGCTGAAATTGTTTTGATTCCTTCCACTAAGCACAAAGGTTTTCCAATACTATTCTTTTTATCCACAATTTACAAATTTTAATAAAAAAAAATCTTATGAAATTTGTACAAAATCTAAAACTTTCCCTTATGATATATATTAGTTAATTTAATTTAAAGAATTGTATCTGAGATTACTATCTATATTCACATTGCCATTAGTAGCACTGGTTGTTGCATTATTTTCATTATCTTCTGCAGCAACCTGCCGCTGTTGCCCATCGTTGTTGTCAAATGTACCACCGATGGCACCATTATGATCAAACTCCGGTTCTATATCGGAGCCGAATTCGGAATAACGTCGTCGCCATGGTAATACTTCGCGTATGCTGTCGATGAGACGTTGTTGAAATGTTTTATACTCCATATCCACGGATTGAGTATCACCAAAATTAAAATCGGCCACTTCTACCGTGAAGCTGAAAGTGAATATGTAAAGAAATTGGATAAGGTAAAATTTACAGATATTTTCTGACCAACAATAAAGATTCATAATGTTTAAAGATACTGTCATATTTGTAATACTACATGATTATGAAGTTAATTCAGTTAGACCGTCTATCGGGCATAAAAACTTAAGGGGCACACCTATTATGAAATTTCAAACAAATTGATCTTTTTTCATATTTGCGTAGATTACATCTTTAAAATTAACATATTAAAATTTCAAATCGATATCTCAAATAGTTTTTGAGTTATAGCAATTTAAAGAGCAGTCGCTCGGCAGCTAGAGAGTCTCATTAGCTACGAGGGAAAACGATCATTTTATCTTTAAACGCGTTTTTCTCGAAACAGTATTTTCCGTATTTGCTGCAGTAATTACTCAAAAACAAATGATCTGATCACTATCGAATTTTTTTTACATGTTCTATATATAGTTCTCCGTATATAGTTTTGATCTGATCAAAAAATCGAATTTGGCAGGCCAAAAACCACCAAAATTTTGGTTAAAATTCGACTATTTTATTTAAAACGCCGCCATATTGTAAATTTTTGATTTTTTTATCGTAGGTCATTGTACAGACAATATTATCTATTATCATCTACGGAGAAGGCCGGATTCACTGCAGCAGTAAAGGACCTTTTTTTCGCGCCGTTGGAGATCGACTATAACATAAAAAATATTTAATTTTTTTATTCAAAAATTTCACTGTATATTCTTTAAACATGTATAAATATATCTTTAAAATTTGGAAATATTTGATAAAGTATTTTTCTTATATAAAAAAAAATTCCCAAAACTCACCTTTTTTTTAGGCCATTACACTAGGTGTGCCCCTTAAATATATTATCTTATTAATTAAGCTATAAAAAATAAATGAGTTGCTAAGTGGGTAGCAGACCGTTTATCCTTTGAAGATAATACTTTTATCCCTCTCACAGAAGCCTTTGTCCCTATTGGCAAAAAAAATTGGTCAATCGATTTTTACAGGGTTCTCTTGATGTCAATTTTTTAACAGCCAAATCATTTCCCATGGACAGGAACAGGAACACATGGCAATCACTTAGTGCGAGATTCAGAGTATAAATTGAATGCATAAGAAACTCCCAAGTAAGCTCTCGGAGATTATAGTTATCTACTGACGTGTGTGGTCTGCCGTTGCCTCGATAAAATACAAATCTCCTACTGTTGGCCAAAGCTGGGCTCTTCTGGGCGGTTTATTTCATCAGACAGTCCAATTGCTGACATGTACAGGTCCCAATTAAGAGTTTGGCCGTAGGGTAACAGCTCTTAGTGGATGATTCCTTGCCACTGCCACTAAGACGTCAATCCTGGCTTGGATATACCGTTTGTGTCGGCTGACTGCCCTCCGACCACAACCGTTTTCATTTGGCTTTGCTGTAAGTGAATCACTTCACCATCCGCTTGAGAAATTGATTGATTTTATTACAATTGAGCAGCGCTTCGCAAATGGAAGTTCAGTCCATGAAGATTTTTTTGCTAACTCATGTGACATCCATACATCTATCTTCTTTGTGTAACCAGCCTCTTTCAAGTGGTTACAAACACTTTTTTTATTTAACTGCTCTTGGGCAATCGAAACAGTGCTCTCATGACGGGTAAACTAGACGATTTCCATTATTTTATAGCCGTTTTCGACAATTGATCTTCCATACCGTGGAGCCTCTTTTACATCAAACTTACCGGAAGAAAATAAACGAAACGGAAATTGTGGATAATTGACTGTCATAGTACCAGGACCATAAACAATATTTACATTTGTTGGTGGCCTGACTAGCCTTTATCGAAGAAATATTTAGAATATAGTGAATTTTCTCTTCGCTAACGTCTATATTTGACGCGCGCTCAAAAATTACAGAGTTAAGTGATCAACAGTTCTCCCGTTATCATTTTTTGGTACAATTTATCATTATTATCAATAACGCCATCTAGCATAATACAATTGCACTTATAGAACAGGCGAAAAGGATCACTAAAGCCATTTATTGCAAAATTAATGGATTAATATAATTTGTACATACAAATCTAAATATAATTTTTTTTGGCACTTGCCAGACCATAAATCCTGATATTTATTTTGAAAAATATCGTCGATGGCGTTTTCAATCGAAAATACTTTTTAGATTTTATACTGGCCAGGGCTCGGACCCTTGACTTTTCTACTACCCATTCATATATTCCTTATATATACATTTTATGTAGCCACTCAATTTGTGTACTCACCGATTTCGAGATTGAATATAATATGAGACACCAAACACGATTAATATTACAGCGATTAAAGTGAATGATACGGGCACCACCACAACAGACAACTGCGACTGAACTTTTGCTGAAAAATAGAAAGATTTTATATATGTATAAATATTTCAAAAAAAAAAAAAAATTTTTGTTATCAGGGTGAATTTAACGCGAGAATTCGGTTATCATTTACCTTCGTACATATTGATGGTGACCTGATTCAACTTCTCAGACACTTCATTCCGTATGAAAAATAAAACCGTTTTGCTTTCATAGAAAAAGCGCGTATAATTATATTCGCAGGTCTCGAGTGGAAAATAATAACGGCAAATTTCATTGCCCGTGGCATTGTAAGGAGCTTAAAGGTATGAAAATAAATCATACATTTAGAGTTATTTACATATATATGTATTATGAATGTTAGTCTTCACGCACCATTGTATACTTGTATGCACATCTCTAAAGAAGGAGAGCCTTTACAGTTGATTTGTAAGCGCAGCATGTCTCCGCGTTGTAACCAATTTTGACCGCTGGCCTTGAAGTCAGAGACGGGCGCTACATAAGAAAGAGAGGAAATATTTAGTTAATCATTAATCACACAAGGAATAAATTTCATTGCAGCACACCTTTCGAGACTACATAATGTTTAAAGAGTCCTGTCAACTTGTTCGGTTCACGCTTTAATTGTCCAGTAAGACAATTATAAGGCGACTCTTTATCCATAAGAAGTGGTGACAAAGACAAAGGCAATTTGACTTTTGTTGCGTTTGAATCTACGCCAGCGGTTATTGTTAAGTTGCTTGGCATAGGTTGATTTTCTACTTTTCCTTCCAGTAGAGTTGGTGCCACCGCACCTCGACGTCGGCGTTGCTTTTGTGTTGGTGTTGTTACGTTTACATGGGAAGGTGTAGACGTTGTAGTGCTCGGTTTTGGAGTTGTTGTGGTCGGTTTTGATGTGGTTGTTGTTGTTGGTTTGGGCGTAGTTGTTGTTGTGGTGGTTGTGCTAGTTGTAGTTGGGGGCTCAGGGGGTTTTTCAAAATTCGCTACAACCTGCAAAAAAAACCTTAAAATTATACGATTCTGCATGGAATATATGCATGTAGATCAATATACTCACCAAAGCTTCGATTTTATAATTTTGATCGGCTTCTGTGTACTGCGCGATATAGCTCAGTCCATTTATGACGCCAATGTAAGTACAATTTCTAAACCAATATGTTTGTACCTCATAGGCTTTTTCAGCTAGTAATTTTGCGTCACTCGGTCGCAATAATATTGTATGATTGACTGGCTTTACAGTGGAAACATAATTATTTTTACGTTTCGTATCGTTTTGTATGAGTAACATATCACCGCCCAAAGAATCGTCCAGCTTGTAATCGATGTGATTGCTGGCTATATTTATCCAGAAAACATAACTTTTATCCACTTTCAGTGTGACTCTATAATCGCCAGGTTTGGTCGTATTCATTGGATATGTTACAGACCAATTGCTGTAAGGGTATTTCGTGTTGATTTCCTGGAAATTTCAATTAGAAATTAAGCTATTGATGCATATAGTGATATTTTACATTCACATATGTAAATAATAAATGAATGAAAAAAAATTGGTACTTGTATTTAACAATTAAGTTGGCGCATTCGAAGGAATGGGGAAATCATCGTAGTTTAGATTACGAAAATCGTTGCAAATGTATTAAAAAAAAAAGGATATTAGAATAAATCCTGAAGGATAAAAAATTAAAACAAAAAAACACTTCAAGATTTAGTAATTGAAAACTGATGGATCTTTCATCTCATCTTATCATCCCAGCTCACACAGCCTCCCCTGCGGGTTAGGGGCTCAAGAATTTACCCGCGGTAAGGCATGCCTGTCGTAAGAGGCGACTAAAATCCAATAGTTAACGCGACAGTCGGGTCTTTATACCGGAACGACCCGGATTTTTATCCGGCCAAGGACTGTCACTCCCGCAACATTCCCAAAAAGTACTTTGGGGAATAATTTTGCGGTTACAACAACAACAACAACAACAGAATTTGGTCAAAGACAACGCAGTGCTCAGAGCGGCCAGACGAAATTGAGAAGGAAATTAAATAATAAATTAATAAAAATAAATTATTGCAGATTTTTCTTAAGTTATTTCTTTCAAAACATTTTATTATTAAAATTTTATGAGTCATTCAAAAATTTAATAACTTTTTAACTTTTCGTTTATTGTGTAAAAACATTTAAAAATTTTCAAATTTAAAATATAATTCTCCTGTATTGAGTGTTGAAAGTTGAAATGGTAAAAAACATAGAATTCCTCTAATTTTTTAGAAAGCAGTGTCGGCCAAATGAAATTCAAAACATTGCAAAGTATGGTATCTTCACAATGACGATAGTGAATTCTAAGGTTAAAGAAGATTAATAAATTTTAGAAGTTATTTATAATTTAATGTAATCCTCGCTCAATCTGTCTTCGGCCATGCCTTCTATGTCCTTATACCTTTCGAATTTATGGTATTCCATTTTGTGATTATATTCGTATATTAATAATTGGGTATGTTTGGGTACTATATGAAATAGTCCTCGGGTTTTGATGGCTTTCGGTGACAATGTTTCATTGTAAAGAGAACTGGTTGTGCAAAGTCTATAGTCCTCCGATTTCGATTAACTACGTTGGCAATGTTAATTTGTAGATACGAAAGTATAATATCAAATTTCATACGCTTAGATCCTTTTATGACGAAGTTATGTCCAAAGCCTCTTATCGGAAAAAAAACGGTTTATTAAAGCTTATGGTATAGTCGTTAACAGATTTATGACCCAAAATCTCAAGTACGAAAATCGGTAGTATATATACATATGCTACAGTGGATCTCTCAAATCAAATGATCGTTTAAATGTATCTAAGTTTCGTAATCACCTATGGCGAGTATACGATTAAATCACCAATAATTTAAGCCTTAAAAATAAGAAAATAACTTTGAAGGCCAATATGCCTATGTCCATGCCCAAACTTTTACACCAACCATGGGCTCTTCGAGTATACTAAACATGGCAAGGCGTACTGAACTAAAAAGCCCGAGTGATAAGATTGATTCAGATAATATGCAATAGCTAGATAAAAGACAACTAAAACATTAATCTACAGCATAAATGTAATTCCTTTGCACGTACCGCATGGTTGCCAACAGAGGTGTTATCCTCCCAATTAAACATGTAATTGCCCGTACTCGCAACTTGGCCATCATCGTATAATACAGCTGTAAAATTTATAGTGCCACCAATAACGGATGAACCGGTGCTCCTTATTTCGACGTAGTCAGCTTTTGCTAAATATGAAAAAATTCAATGTTTATTGTGTTTAGAGATATGTATGTAGAAGGAATATAATTATACAAGCCTTTGATGAATATGAACAAAAGCAAAATATTGATACTTTAAAATATTTGTTTTTGTTCTCTTACACATGAAATTACCAATAAGACCGATTAAAATATTTGTGTAGCGATTTTATATTCTGAGCTCCACTCAAATAATAATGTAGTTATTCTTTTGGCTACCAAAATGAATAGATATTATTCGTGTGTTTAAATAAAATTCGAAACAAACTCAAGAATATGCAAGTGGGTCTTCTAAGTGTTAAGAAAATACAGGTGATAATTTTTTGCAGTACCTGCTTTGATCGCGTAAAGGAACTATGGCAGCGATTAAAAACAAAACAAATTTCGTGAAAATATTTTTTCAATCGAAAATCCTAATTTGTTTCCTTTTCTTTCACAAATTATTTCATTTGTTTTTTATATTCCATATTCTATGTAGGTACCTACTTCTCGAATCGAGTTTAAAAATATATGGAATTTTTTTTGTCAAAATTAAAAGAAGGCGTAATTAAAACCGGGCACACATTATTATCAGTACAAATTTACAAATTTATTAACAGGCTAGCGTAGGAATGTTAAGATATTATTAAAAAATTAAATTATATTCTACTAACCTGTCGACAGAAACATTAACACAAGCAATGACAATAGCTGTGCTACGTGCATACACGGCACTTGGTTTTTCAGTTTCCTTCCCATTTTGTAAATTTTTCTTTATAGGAGGTTACAATGATATGATAATGTAAAATATATCTTAATTTTCACATTTAATTACGTATATTCCACAGTCACTAACGCCAGCGCTAGTGACAAATACTTTCTTTGTAAATTTTACACCATTTGTAAATGTTCTTTTCTTTTTTTTTTAAAGTCATAAATTCTGTTTAAACAGCTGCTAATGATACATTTGCGTCAGTGAAATACCTATAATCTTTAAATCGAAAGTTGTTTAATTATTAAATTCTCTTAAATATTATTTTCACTCCAACTGCGTATAAATCATATACTGAATCAAATGGAAACAGAGGACAAGTGTTGCCGGATATTTTTTTCTGAAGTAGCCTGCTCGGAACGCATATTTAGCCCCGAAGTAGCCCCATCATGGGGCTGGGACAGTTGATAAGAGAAATCTAACCAAATTCATTAGTTCGTAATATACGTCAGTCATACTTGTCTAAATTATTCAGATCATGAACAATCAATTAGAAACAATTGAAAATAATATTTTTAATTTCATTAATTTTTTCTTAAATATTCTACCAATTTAATACTGTTACGATTTTACTAAATCAACCTCGATTATTTTCTAGATCCTTCGGGTACGATCTCTGGATTGTTAAATAAAAACTCGCCAACTTAATTTGCAGTTTCTTTCGTTATAAAGATTCTATCTAATGTCCTTTATTTTCTCAGTAATTCACAATTCAATTATACTGCACTTTACTATTTATAATCACTAA